AGATTTTAAAGTAAGTCTCATGGAAAACAGTGTCAAATGATGAAAACCACTAGTTGCTAGTTTCAGACAGCCCTTAAAATGTCAGTCCTGGGAGCTCTGGTGGCCTAGTGCAATCCTGAAGAAGCACGGTTCGAATCCAGCTCTGATGGAGGAGGGGCAATCTCCTGTGACAGTCGGATCTGATTAGAGGGTACACAAGGGGGGAAAATTTTTTTTTAAAAAGTCACTCCTTTCCCATCCCCAGCCACGGTTCCAGGTGTGGATATATCTCCTTTGCCGTATCTCTTCACTTCATCCTATTCTGTAGTTTCTGGTAATCAGTTCATTTGGTCTGAAGTACCACAAAGAAATACCCAGCCCTTCAATTATAAAAAAAAATGTAAATGCCAGCAGAATCCAGGAAATTTAAACTAATGTAAAGAGAAAGAGCCACTTACAGAGTGAGGCAGGAGCAGCATTGACACTATTTATTTTATATCTTCAGGCTTCCTACTCTAGACAGAGATTGAGTAGTTCTTCCGGATAAAAAGACTGCGAAGCAACAGGAGCACCTGTAACCACTGATGATCCAGATGTTGACTGTTGAGCAAGTAGCTCAGCCTTATCCATATGTTTATAATCAAAATAGTAAATATTTACAGAAAGGATTCTAAGAAAAATAGGAATGGTTTTAAGGCATTAGAATGGTGCATTAACAATATATTACAAGCAATGGGAATGTGCTCTGGGAGTGTTTTAATTCATTACCTCCCTCAGATTTGTTCTAATCTGTGTATTTTGCATAACTTCAAGGAGGTGACAGAGAACAATTCTCTTGTTTTGGTGTGGCCAGCATTACCTCTTCAAGTAAAAGGAACATTTTATCAGAGGTAAGTTAATGCTTTTCATTCTTATAAAATTAATTATTACTCAGGAGAAAAATTTTTCATTTCTTTTTATCCAAAGACTATTAGTGAAAGCTATAGTCAATAATTGTTAATAGGCATCACCAGGTTATTGAAATTAGTGCAATAAAATGGCTTAATGAGCCTAAGCTTATTCTTCTTAATTGTGAACCACATATATATCTATTATATTAAGCCTTTAATAGATCACTAATTTCAAGGGAATTCCTCTTTTGAAATAATTGAAATATTTATATTTAGTTCCTTTTAGATAGGTATATTTTATTTCTTCCGTAAATGGTCCTGACAGTCATGTTTCTCTACTATGCTATGATCACACTCATTCATTCATCATCATCAAGTCAGAACTGACTCATTAGCTGGCCCTTGAGCAGGTTTTTAGAAGGTGTAAGTCATGCAGGAGGAGACTGCCCATCCTTCTCCCTTAGAACAGCTAGTAAATGTGACCTCCCCGCCTTTGGATTGCCAGCTTCTTACAAACTATGCCACTAGAGCTCTCACTATACTATATTGTCATTGTTGTTGTTAATTGTAGAGTCAGAAATGGCTCATAGCAGATCTTCCAGCAAGCTTTCAGAGGCAGACAATCACACAGGAGGAGATTGCCCATCCTTCTCCCAAAGAGTGGGTGATGGATTTGAATCCTGTGCCTTCGGGATTGCATTGCAGTTACTTACTATGAGGCCACCAGAGAGGAATGAATAATTATGTGATTTCTAACTATAGTTAGGTGAGTGCAAGCTTTTCCATTTTCTTAGGTTTGTTAAAGAATGGGGAAAAAAATGTTATTTGAATATAGAAAAAAACAAAAAAAAATTATTGTTGTTGATGTTGTTATGTGCCGTCGAGTCACTTGCATCTCATAGCGAACCTATGTACAACAGCCTAAACCCTGCTCTATCCTGTGCCAATCGCACTGCCTCCGACACACTCATCCCGATTACCCCAGTCACTGAATCAATTCACCTCATAGAGGGTCTTCCCCTCCTGCGCTGTCCCTCCACCCTCCCAAGCATGATGTCCTTCTCCAAGGACCTGTCCCTCCTTACAACATGTCCAAAGTATGTCAGATGAAGCCTCAGAATCCTTGCCTCCGAGGAGTAGCCTGTTTTAACCCTCTCCAGGATGAATCTGTTTGTTTTCTTAGCAGTCCATGGTACCCTACTCTTCTGCAGCACCATGGCTCAAAGGCATCATTCTCCTTCTATCCTCCCTAGTCATTGTCCAGCTCTCTGACGCATAACAAGTGATAGCAAAGGCCGTGGCCTGTATCAAATGCACCTTAGTCTCCAGAGAGACACCATTGCTTTTCAGTACTTTGGAGAGGTCCCTAACAGCAGACTTGCCCATTGCAATACATCTTTTAATTTCCTTGCTGCTGGTGCCAAGAGTGCTGATTGTGGAGCCAAGCAAACTAAAGCTGTGAACAATCTCAATCTCTTCACCATCCATCCTGATGCTGCCAGTTGGTCCAGTGGTGAGAATCTTTGTCTTCTTGACATTGAGTCTCAGTCCAACGCCTTTGCATAATCAATGAAATACAGATAGACATTCATCCGGTATAGATGCTAGAAAATTTAACATTGATAGCCTCTTAATTCCAGAATTCCAAGGAGGTCTCGTGGCCTAGTGGCAAAAAGCTGCACTGCAATCTCAAAGGCTTGTGGTTCAAATCCACCAACTGCCCTGCAGGAGAAGGATGAGCAGTCTCCTCCTCTGAGGGTCAGCTATGAGTGGATTCTGACTTGATGGTAAACCACAACAATCTCAGAAACACTTGTAAATTCCCTTCAAGGACATAGAAACTAGTTGTTGTCAATGTAAACATTTGTGCTTTGTTGTAGAACTGTGCTCCTTGGATTTTCAATGGCAGAAATTTTAGGCAGCAGGTTGCCAGGCCCTGCTTCTCACATGCTTCTAAGTGGACATGAGCCTGTAGCCTTTAAGTTAGCAGCCTAGCATGTTTCACTATTTGTAATCATCCAGAAATACCTTAAAAGATGTGTGTGTGTGTGTGTGTGTGTGTGTGTGTGTGTGTGTGTGTTTTCTGGTGTAGGCAAGTATAAGATGGTCAGGAAAATTCTTTTAAAAAACAGTATAAAGCATTTACTCACTCAATGCTGTCAGGTCAGTTCCAACACATAGGGACCATCCATTATGTTTCTAAGGTTACAGATCATACTAAGAAGATACTACCCATCTTTCTCTCTTGGAACTGCTGATGGGTTTGAACTGCCAGAGATACTCTCAGCTTTTGGGTTACAGCACAACTCACTATTGCCCACACCACCAGAGCTCCCTCATATAGCACTAGGATATAATTATGGGAGGAAAATGGTATGAAAATATGAATTCAAAGATCAGAATAAAAAAATAAAAAAAAGATCAGAATAACACTGAAAGAGTTTTAGATTTATTTTTTTTCTCATTAAACTTGTTTTAATGGGTCTCAAAATTCTGTGACAAATTTTTGGTCAAGTTATTTCCATTTAAAAAGTACTGATTTTAAAAACTAATAACTTAAAACTGCCACACGAAAAAGAAAACAAATGGTCCACAAAACATTCCTTTCCTTCTGAAGGTTTTACGATGCATTGTTATCATTAACCAGTCTTTTACTATTAAACTTAAATGGCCAATTAAGACAAACAGTTCTGAGACCGTTCTTCCACCACTGATTAAGACTGGGATGGCAGGTGTTATGGGTTATATTCATTTAGCCTTCTGAGCTTTCTGAGCAGACTTGGTGACCTTGCCAGCTCCAGCAGCCTGCTTTGATGACACCCACAGCAACAGTCTGCCTCATGTCTCGGACAGCAAAACGACCCAGAGGAGGGTAGTCAGAGAAGCTCTCCACACACATGGGCTTGACAGGAACCATATCCACAATAGCAGCATCACCAGACTTCAGGAATTTGGGGCCATCTTCCAGCTTCTTACCAGAACGGCGATCAGTCTTCTCTTTGAGCTCAGCAAACTTGCAAGCAATGTGAGCTGTGTGACAATCCAGCACAGGTGCATAACCAGCACTGATTTGGCCAGGATGGTTTAAGATGATCACCTGAGCAATGAAGCCAGCTGCTTCCATGGGTGGGTCATTTTTGCTGTCACCAGCCACGTTGCCATGTCGAACATCTTTCACAGAGACGTTCTTAACATTGAAGCCAACATTGTCACCAGGAAGAGCGTCACTCAAAGCTTCATGGTGCATTTCAACAGACTTTACTTCAGTGGTAACGTTGACTGGGGCAAATGTGACCACCATGCCAGGCTTGAGAACACCAGTCTCCACTCTGCCCACAGGGACAGTACCAATACCACCAATCTTGTAGACATCTTGGAGAGGCAGACGCAGGGGCTTATCAGTTGGACGAGTTGATGGCAGGATGCAATCCAAAGCTTCAAGCAGTGTAGTCCCACTGGCACTGCCATCTTTCCAGGTGACTTTCCATCCCTTGAACCAAGGCATATTAGCACTTGGCTCCAGCATGTTGTCACCATTCCAACCAGAAATTGGCACAAAGGCTACTGTGTCAGGGTTGTAGCCAATTTTCTTGATGTAGGTGCTGACTTCCTTAACGATTTCCTCATATCTTTTCTGGCTGTAGGTGGCTCGGTGGAATCCATTTTGTTAACACCAACAATCAGCTGCTTCACACCCAGTGTGTAAGCCAGAAGGGCATGCTCACGGGTCTGCCCATTCTTTGAAATAACAGCCTCAAATTCACCAACACCAGCAGCAACAAGCAGGACAGCACAATCAACCTGTGATGTTCCTGTAATCATGTTTTTGATAAAGTCTCTGTGTCCTGGGGCATCAATGATGGTCACATAGTACTTGCTGGTCTCAAATTTCCACAGGGAGATATCAATGGTGATGCCATGCTCACGTTCAGCTTTCAGTTTATCCAAGACCCAGGCATATTTGAAGGAGCCCTTTCCCATCTCCGCAGCTTCCTTCTCGAATTTCTCAATGGTTCTCTTGTCCATCCCACCACATTTGTAGATCAGATGGCCAGTCGTGGTGGACTTGCCCGAATCTACGTGTCCAATGATGACGATGTTGATATGGGTCTTCTCCTTTCCCATTTTGGCTTAGGTTTTGCAATGGTATTCACCAACACCTGTACTCTGGTGACAAACCCGTTGTGAAAAAGGAGAGTTTTAGATTTTTATGTGTAGTTTTTAAACAAAATATTTTTATATCAAATTTCCATGGTATTTAGATGCCACTGAAAGAATTTTATATATGAGAGAATTTTATAACAATTTTGTTTTAACTATACATTTTTTAAAAATATGTCAGAAAAAAATCTATCCGTATAGCTATTTAAAGTGAAAAGGCTTTCTTCCCCCTTATATTCAACCTAAAATTGTAAGATGAAATTCTTGGTTTTTCCCAAAAACTTTTAGGGTTTGGAAACATTCTTTTTCTATTTTTTGCAGTTTTCTAACTTTACTTAATAATCAGCTTTTCGTTTTCATCCACATTGATGGTCTGTAGGGTTTTTTTTTAATTACTATTTTGTGTGTGTGTGCCATCAAATCAGGTCTGACTGCTACAGGAGGAGATTGTCCCTCCTTCTCCACCAGAGCATCTGGTGGATTCAAGCTGCACACCTCTGGGATTGCAGTGCAGATTTGTAGCTTTTTAAAAGTGGTGACAGGTAAATAGGTAACCAGTGCATACAGCTTGTCTGGGGAATCTTCATCCTCATTAAGTTTTCTGGACAACTGTACATGGATGTGGTATGAGACATTCCTTATTCCTTTGACCCAGATGGTTTTGTTAAGCCTGGTGTCAATGTGAACATTTGGTGTTCCCATCTCCTTCATGGCAAATTTCTGGATCTCCTTGAGTGTTTGAGGCGCACGCTTCTGAAATCCCACTCCATGGATGTGCTTGTGAATGCTGATGGTGTGCTCTCTTGTCACCACTTCACTGATGGCAGAACAGCCTTTCTTCTTCTCACCACCCTTCTTTGTGGGGGCCATCGCGCCGGGACCGGGCTGGGAAGTGGAAACATATTCTTGAAGACTACTGAGCATTTTCCTTCACCTCATATTTGCCTCTTCCAGGACATTCCTTTGATTTCTCTATCAGTAGACAGTGAGCTCACACTATGCTCCACGCACACTTTTCTATTCCAGTGGGATCACTGTGAGAAGTAAGTTGTCCAAGTATCTTTTTGCAAGGCATCTTCCTTCTAGAGATGGGTGTGATTCTGTGAATGGAAGTACTCCGCTTTTGGGTTTTTTGTTAATGTTGGTCTGATTGATTTCAGGCTTGACAAAGGAAGGAGATGAGTATGGGGAAAGAGGAACAAAAAACACCCCAAAACAATACTTCAGTTAGTGATCTTCCATCTCTGAATGGAGAGGCTAAGAATATACCAGAGGAAAAGCAGGATCAGGTAAGTAGTTGGCTGCTGTCCTGGCTGATCAGAACTGTGTCCGGCATATCAGCAGTAATGTTTGTTAGTTTGTTCTTTTCCTGGCAGAATGCGCATGCAGGGTCTCTCCTCCCTTTGCTTGGGTCTTTCTCTCTGTCACATACAGACATTTTGCTATAGCTGAGCCTGGCGAGGGTACATTTGAAAACTGGGAAAGTAGGTAAGGCAGCTGTAGGAAACTGGCCTGAGGCGTGGGCCCCTGGGCATAGCATTATCACCTGTCTCTGGTGTGGCTCCTTCTCCTGCTACAGACATTCAGAGACAGCGCCACGGTAGCACCTCCACAGAGAATCATGAACTGTCTTTGGCCCCAGAAACAAAACTTTTTTTTTTATGAGAAGCAAGTTCAGGCTCTAGAATCAGTCTAAGCAGGATTGGGTCTCAACGATGACACTTGCAGCTATGTGATGTTGGAATCCTGTTTTTCTCATTCTAACAGCCTGCTTTCCATCTCTGAGTGGGGAGAATAAAAGTGTTAATTTCCGTGACTGTTGCAAGGATTATATGCAGGTGCCAGGAGGCATGTGGAAAAGGCTCAGTTCAGTTCATTGCTGTTGCATATTTTTCAGCTGTGCATCCTTTGTCCTTCAAGAATGACTCTGTGTTGAACCCTAGCTTATGTAATATTCAAAATAGCATTGAAGGGCATATAAAAACAAACAAGCCCAGTCACTATATAAAACCTAGCTTTGCACGTTTGTGCATTCCCTCTCAGTCTCTGCACAGCTGGTGTGGAGCAGCAGGACTTTGCACGCCCCTCAGGGTTGCTGCAGAAAATCATTCACCTGCTTAGGAAACAGCCTGGCTTTCATTCAGTCATGTTGAGCTCAAATGCAGTGTGTGACCTAGGAGTTCCTCTTCCAGATACACATTATAATTAGAGTTATAATCCTCAGATGGGGCTCTGACCTGCAACTTCATTGTCACAGGGTTGTTGTTTGAAATGTAACTTCAGCTCTGCCCCCTCTTCACTCCCTAAGTCAATACCAGCTGCCATGGAGTTGTCTCAAGGGCACCTGCCCCAGGGAGCTATGTTCATAACTGCATTGCTTCAGGTAGTCACCCCTAGAAATAACACATGAACATCTGTATTGGAAAAGATAAGTACATTGCATTATGCTTATGCAAAAGAATTGGATACAGCAAAGAAAATAAATGGTCGAGAGTTACAGTATGGAGATAGTAAATTAGGCTGAGTCTCACAAAAGAAGAAAATCTGTTTCTGAGGAGAACCAGGTGCCATGATTCCATTTATCTGGCAACAATAAGCTGTGTATGGCTTAGAGAGATGTATTAGGTGAGAACATTATAAAGAAAAGCAAGGATGTGGGGACTGCAAAAGAGAGGACGATCCCCAAATAGCTCAGTTGATGTGGTGACTTCAGCAATGGGCTCAAGTATGTCAGAGATGATGAGATGACATAGCATAGGACAGAGTCCAGGACGGCTGTTCACAGGGGCGCTATGAGTCGTACTTGACGACATCAAACAACAGCATGATGGAGGAGCCTATGGTGAAGAGTGGGGGTGAAATAGGAGTGAGGTTAACTGGGAGTGTCTATGAAGTCTCCTCCACTGAGAGTGTTCTCCTAACCTGGGTGATATGTATTCATGACAAGTATGTACACATTCACTTTCTAATTATTCATGTTTTCTATCTCTTTTTAAAATTTTCTTTTTCTTTCTTTTTTTTTTTGTTTTATATCTCTTGTGAATGAATGATTCAAAGAAATGAAAATGCACACAGGAAGGTAAAGGTGAGGGCAGCGGTGGTTCAGGGATGGAATTCTCACCTTCCTTGCAGGAGATCCAGGCTTGGTTCTTAGTCAGCTCGCCTCCTGCACAGCCATAGATCTGTCACTGGAAGCTTGTGTATTGCTATGACACTGAACAGGCCTCAGTGGAGCTTTCAAATCAAAATGGACTAACAAAAAAGGCCTAGTGATCTAATTCTGAAAGCCAGGGAATACTCTGTGGTCAAAACAGTCCAGTCCACCTATGATGGGGATGGTGCAGGACCTGGCAATGCTTTGTTGCACTGTGCATGGAGTTACCATGAGTTAGGAGCCGACTTGACAACAGCTAATAAGAGCAGTACCACCATGTACTGCTTCTTGTCCCACGTTAGCGATCTAGTTTTCCATATATTTCCCCCCACATTTATGCTTGCCTGAAAAGGATAGCAAATCTAGTCTCAGTCATGGCTAGAAATGGAAGCTCCTCCAGTGGTTTTTATTTCCTCCCCGCACCTCACCTCTCTCAAGGTGACCATCACTTGCATCCACTGTGGAATCTTCCTGTTATGCTAAACTTTCTCAATTCTCTGAGTCTCCTTGGTGTTGACAATTCTCTTTATTAGAAATGAAGAATTGCAGGTCAGTGAGCTGCCAATTAGATGACCTGGGGTCTCTGGTCCCAGGAACGGTGTTGGAGTGACCTGGCACCCACTATACCAATCATCAAGTCACCTCCACATAATGGTGACCCTAAGGTATGGTAGAGTAGAACTGTACTCCACAGGGATTGGGGTTTCCCCACCCCCTTCTTTTAAATTGAAACTTGAGTGAAAGTTTACAAAGCAGATTAAATGCTCTGTAGGGTTTTTTATTTGAGGCTGTGATATTTTGAGAGTTACTGGGAGGCCTTTCTTTCAAGGCCTCTCTGTGCAGGCTCAGGTTGACAGGATTTCTGTTAGTAAAGAAGCACTTACCATCAATCAGGGCCTCTGACACTCACTCTAAAACATTTACCTGCATGACTCCTAGATTAAAACCATAACCAACACACACATTTCATGGAACAGAACTGCAGATTCTGACGTAGGTCTCATTTCCACCTTCCGCAGGGGACTGAGATCACCCTGACCAGCCAGTATGAGGAGAAGGTGCGACCCTGCATTGACCTTATCGACTCTCTGCGGACCCTGGGCATAGAACAGGATCTGGCACTGCCCGCCATTGCTGTCATTGGGGACCAGAGCTCGGGCAAGAGCTCCGTGCTGGAGGCTCTATCTGGTGTCGCCCTGCCCAGGGGCAGCGGTAAGAAGTCACCCTCTCATGTCACATTTCTGGGGATGTCAGGGTGGGATATGGGCGGCAGAAGATTGATTAAGTGCACCTTGGTCCCCAGCCCAAAGCTATGTGCATATGAGCATCTTTATGAGCCCTTCCTGGAGCTTACTTTCCATAGAAGAGACAAAAATTGGTGCTGAGGTTACAGATATGTTTGAGTTGTAAAATCTAGGATAGCAATGAAGGCAGAGTCCTTGTAAGGGGTTGAATAAGACAGGATACACCTGGGATGGACCTTGACCTAGAAGAATTTGAAAAGAACTTCTTTTCATGTGAGTTCTTATAGGACCTGTTTCCTATTCAGGGTATGCACATTCCACAGATCTGACCGATGTTACGTGGTCTAGTTAGAATGGAGTGTGCCTCTGCTGGTCATCAAGATGTCTTAAGTGGGTTTTTTGATCGCTGATGAAAAGGGACTACCTAGATCCTGTATGAATCTCCTGTGACTGCTATAACAAGCATCACATATGAAAACCTTAAAACAATAGAAAATTTTGTGGCAGCTCTGGAGTTTAGCTGTCCCTAATCAAGGTGGCCATGCTCCCTCTCAAAGCTCTATGGGAGAATCCTCCCTGCCTCTTCCTCCCTTCTGATTGCTGGCAACCCTTAGCATTCCTGCTCATATATGCACATTTCAAACTCTGCCTCCATCTTCACATGGCATCTACCTTCTATATCTGAGTGTCTCTTCTCCTTTTTTAAAAAAATAAGAACAGTAGTCATTAGATTTAGGTCTCACCAAACTACAATATGACATCATATCAACAGATTACATCAAGAAAGACACCCCCCCACTTTTTTTTAGTGTACACATTCTGGTTTCCAGAATGAGTTTCCTTGTAGATAAAGATAGTAGGGAACACAATAAGGTTAATACTCAAGACATAATGCTTCAGGGTAACAAAGGGTTGGACCAAGATGATTGTATTTTAGTAATTGTTCCAGTGATTATATATAGAAAAGATTGTGAACCCCTATGATCAGTCACCTGTATAGTTGTCCAAGGTCTAGAGTAAGTACTGACGTGGAAATGACCTCTTAGGTATTGTAACGAGATGTCCTCTGGTGCTGAGACTGAAAAAACTTATGTGTGGTGAAGAATGGAAAGGAAAGATCACTTACGAGGATAATGAGATTAACATTTCAGACCCTTTGGAGGTGGAAGAACAAGTATACAAAGGTAAGTAACTTAGTTTCTGTCAAGATCCTCATACTCCTAAACTCACTGCCATCACCTTGGCTCTGACTCATAGTGACTCTTCATTGTTTTTCCTAGACTGTAAATCTTTACAGGTGGAGATTGTCCAATTGTCTTCCAAAGAGTCAAACAGCCAACCTTGTGCTTAGCAACCTGATATGTTATACACTTAGCCGCACACAAAGAAAGATTGGTTTGATCAACTTGAAATATATGAAAGGAGAGACAACACTAGAAGACATTTAAATGAGGTCAATGTGTTTAACAGAGATCAAGAACTGTGCAAGAGATGGTATTAGGATCCCAGGCTCCAGCCATCTCATTGCTGCGCTGTGTGTGGTCTCTGGAAAAACACCATCTTCCTGTTGATTTTTCATTTTTTCCCTAACATGTGGCATCACTAAGTTTCACTAGTTTGGAGAATATGAAAGTGGCATGAACAAATAACCAATATAAAGAAAATTTGAGTTGATGTCCATAAAGAAAGCATGAATTAAAGTTCATTTACTATTTTAGAAAAAGTTAGATACCATCACCAACCAAGTGAGATTTTATGTCAGTGTAATTTTGGATGCCTATGACAAAAACCTCACCACCATTGCTTATTGGTTAGACAGATGGCAAAGCTATCTCAGAATCTCTTGGGTTTTCTTGATTGATTGCGTGGACTGCAAGTCTTCTGATGTGACTTAATGTGTTTAGAACTTGGTGGTTTAAGATGACTTCAGTCACTTGTTGAATGCTCAGCTGGAAAAAGGAAACCAGTGGCCTAGTGGTAAAAGGCTTCCCTGCAATCCCTCAAAGTCACGTGGTTCAAGTCTGTCAACTGCACCACATGAGAAGGCTTTACTGCCTCTGAAAACGTGCTGGAGGGCCAGCTATGCATGAATCATTTCCAACTCAGTGGCCCACCACCACAACAACAATTTGAGGCTACAAGGGAGCTTTTGTAGTATAATATATAGGGATGTGGATTGCTATCCCAAAGACAGTGTCTCTCTGGCAGGTAGTTGCTACCACTGGCTCCATGAGAGAAAGATGTACAATCTCCTCCTGTGCAATTTACATACTCAGAAAATCTGTTAAGAGGGTCAACTATGAGTCAGTTGTTACTTAATGACAATAAGTTTGAGTTTTTGATCTATGTTGTTGTTGAGTACTGTCAACTCAAAACTGACCCATAGCTGACTTTCCAGCAGGTTTTCAGAGGTAGTAAATCACAATAGGAGTAGATTATCCATTTTTGTTGTTATGTACCGTCAAGTCGCTTGCAACTCATAGTGACCCTATGTACAACAGCCCGAAACCCTGCTCTATCCTGTGCCAGTCGCACTGTTTCCAACACACCCATCCCGATTACCCCAGTCACTGAATCAAGCCACCTCATAGAGGGTCTTCCCCTCTTGTGCCTGCCCTCCACCCTCCGAAGCTTGATGTCCCTCTCCAAGGATCAGTCCCTCCTTACAAC